TCTCAAATTTGGTGGAGATTGCTGAGCAAAAAAGGGTTAAAATTAAGGTTTGTGGCTAATTTTATTAATAGAATTTCAACATTGATCACCAAAAAATTTCGGAAAATACACTTCCCAATCATTTAATGTGACAAATCATTTGACTATTATATCAAAAAATTTTACCAAAAATTCATTGTTCGTTGTAACAAGATTCTATTAATAAATTCGATATAACAAAAGTTTTTTATTATTAAAAAAAAAATTTTTTTTCAAAATTCATTGTAATAAAAATTCATTATGACAAAATTCATTATGACAAGGTTCAACTGTATAATGGATAACAATTCATGATCAAAGGTAAAATGTTGATTTGATGAAGTCAATGAAAAGTTGAAAAGTAAATGATATATTAGACTGTATAACAAAAAACCAAGCCTGTGTATTAAAAAACATTCAATAAAGAAATACTATATTAATTTTTTTATTTATTATAAACATTTTATTTTTATCAATTTGGAACTAAATTTCCTTCCCTCCGATATTAATATTTGTTTTTCAAATTTGCATAATGATCTTCAAGCCAATAAAATTTAATTTTTGCATGATATCTGGAGGGGAGATCATCACATAATTTAACCAATGAAATCAAATGTCCACTATGCTAACTTCTAGTGGATAATGATGAGGAAGCAGGGTTTAAACCCCCACCCTATAGAAAATAAACATACGGAATGTATAAGAATTTCCCTATTAGTCGTGTGACATTTCCCTGAGGCTGCTTTTCTATATGTGAAAATAAATTTGAAATTCGTGTCACATGAAGTTTTTTTTAAAATATCTTGTTATTTTTATAATAAACTCGAAATTTGTTGTTAGAGTAAAATAAAAGTACTCCATTAAAGCTTTCTAATGAATACTCTTTCATATCGAAAGGTCTCCTCTACATTAATTCACGGCTATTCAAAAACGGTATTACTTTTTCACTTCAAACCTCAGATTATTTCTCAATATCGCTTTAAAAGAC